TTTATGGTCTCTTTTATGTTATGGTAATCCTGGTCCTCAGCTTTTTCCATGCTGAGCATGGGGCATGGTTGTGAGTTTGATACATGACAACTTGCACCCAAAGATCTGTCTATGGCAAGCATGCACATATTTAATTTTTTAAAAGCAGAAATTTTTTAAAGTTATAAAAATCTGGAACATTCACAGCGCAGAATTCCAGAGCATTATAGAAGCGGCATATAAGTGACTTTGCTGTACTTCTGATTTGCTAATGGTGGAAACGTTGATGACGCTCTCCATTCTTGTCACAGATGGATCATGATCACAGAGGAGATGTCTATGATCTCTTCCCTGGGACATTTCAGACTGTGGAACTTGTAGCCTTTAATCCCGGGACCTGGCTTCTACATTGCCATGTCCATGACCACATTCATGCTGGGATGGAGACAACCTACACTATCATCAAATTAGGTAACATCCTTGCAACAGGTAAATAGGTCACAGGACTGGACAGTTAGTGGCCATGTTGGCTGTGGATGATGGGATCTGGCATTTAGTGACATTTGGAGCAGCACAGGCCCCAATCCCAGAGCAAACTGTACATCTGAGCAGAGTCACAGGGCCAGAGTGACATACCAGAGGAGACCTCAGAGCCACCTCCTGTGTTTCTGTATGATACACTGTTGTAACTATAAACAGGCAAATCATCTCTAAAAACTGATAGTAATTACAGTGGTGTAACGGTAAATTGGGGAAATGTTGGCTCTCATCATCACAGTTTCCAAAACCACGTCCCCCAAAATAACCTGGATCAATCTACGTATATAAACAATCAAGGAGCAGATATTTTATTAAGTTAATGGCTCTTAACTACCCATTAAAGATCAAACCACTCTCACATACCTCCTATTACAGCAGGAATAGCTTACAAAAAACTACTGTGAGAGCAGCAACTGAGCTAAAAGGGAACAGGGAAGCCTGAGGAGGATCTTGGATGATTTGACCGTTCCTGCTGCTCAGAAAGTCCCAGGGCTTTGATCCTGCAAGCTCTGGCTCCCTTCCACCACTAATAATGAAGAATTAACAGTAAAACAGTAAAATGTGTGGGTATTTGCGGCACTATTATTTTTCAGCTCACTTAATTTAATCTCAGCCAAATAAATTAAAATCTCACTTTACTGTGTTTTTCGATAGATGGTTAGGCCTAATGTACTTCCTATGCATTTTCATCTGGAATTGGAACTCAACCAAACAGGTACTCATTAGGTGTAAACATTTATGAGTTCATTCTAGTTAAGAATCTTCTTTGTCAATAACTAGATAAACTTCTGGGCCAAGAAAGACCTTTTTAAATCTGTCTAGTCTTGTGTCTCATGCCAAGAGATGAGGGCAACACCTAGTTTCGCACTGAAAGATACAATCATAGGCATGACTCATGCTGCAATATCCTTCTAATACAGGCACAAGGGAGAGAATTGGAGCCTAAGTGAATAATTAACTTTGCACAGATGAAAAACCATGAATCAATATAACACCATGGCTGAAATGCTGTAGCTTTGTAATGCATACTGAAGGCAAAAGGCATAACATCCACCCATTGCTAATCACAAATTAAAAAGTCACTACTGACATTCTCAGGGAGTTGCGTACCCACTGACTTAGTGCCTGCTCAAGAATCCCAATGGGGACTCTTTAATTGTTGGCTAAGGATAGGTGAATGTTACACCCTTAGACAACGTGCTAGAAGTCACAGTATATGACCTGGGATACAAATTTGATAAGATTATTTTGGGGAAAAGGAGGGTCTGAATTATTCTTAAATGAAAGTGCAGCTTCATGGTTTTATACATACTAGGCTCAGGTATCTGATACGTCAAGTACAGCTGAGAAATGGTCACTCATACATTGGCTGTGTGTTGGTTGGAGGTTTTGAGATTCCAAAAAAAGTTAGCTTTATTAACCTCAGGGAATCAGGAGCATCAAATCCAAGCTGGGAAAAATTTACTTTCTTATAATTACAAAGAAAAGTGTCCATGTTCAGCTTGAGATATTCTAGTTAGCATCTGGTAGACCATTTTATTTATGCTGGTGTCTTGAAGACTTCCTAATAGGAGCAGCTGTCTTTCCCAGTTTGTTTTAACTTTTTAGCTGATTCACAGGACAGGATTCTCTGTTTATCTTGTCACCTAAATAGAGAGTGGAAGGATAACTGCACAACTGTCCTCACCCTGGACTCCAAGAGACTCCCAGCATGCACCATTCTTGCACTAGTTGTGAGACTGGTAGTGCAGCTAGTCATATGATGGGATGATCACCAGCAGGGATGGGGGAAACACTTAAGCAATTGCCCTTCTGCTCTGTTCAGGCAATCAAACACTGACCTAAATCTGTGAATTTAGGCACAAAGGTTGGGAGTTCAATTCCTCACTGCACTTCCTTGACAGGGGCTAGATTCAATGATCCATAGGGTCACTTCCAGTTCTGCCATTCAAATATGATGATGACGTTGAAGAAGATCAGCTGACAAAAACAATCAGACCTAGATGAGCATGTGCATGCATAGGCTTGTACTGTTGAAAAGAAAGCAGCAATACCGACTGACAGAGCAAATTATGTTTAATAAGGTCTGCTTTTTCTTTTATTCAGATGCTGTAGGACATGCAGCCACAACCACAGAGTATGATACAATTACTGTCAAAAGAAAGAATTTTGGAAAAGGTATGACTTCGGCTTTTTCATGCATGATACAGAACAAACTCAGGTCCGACACTGGAAATACATTCATTGAGCCATTTAGGACTCCCTAGCACAGGGTGGTGGGCCAGAGTTCTCCATTCCTGACTTTGTCAGATGGATGGCTTGAGGAGGTTTAGCAACACTGATGGACATCATGGGGCCCCTAGGGAAAACATGGGATAGAGGTTTCCACCCAGTGGTTTACCTGGGGCCCCTCCTTTTCCTTTGCCACCTCTTCTTTTCCCCTAGTCTGCTCCCAACCAGCACTCCAGCTCAGCCAATCTGATTAACTGTCATTAGAAGAGGAAAATCTTTTACCAGTCCTCTGTGTCACTGCAGAAGCTTCTCTGACCTCCTGGAAGTTTGCAAATTAGCTGGCTTTGTTTTGCAATTGGCCTTCAGAACTTAACCACAGCATGTCTCTGAAAACTGATTATGTTCCTGCCCTGGGTCAGCTGGAAAAGTGTCAGCTGACAGGAGGACAAGGAAATCCAGCTATTAAAGGGGAAATAGCAGTAGGAACTCCCTTACACAAACAGGGACATCCCTCCTGTTTTCGATTAATAGCAGGAATTCCACTCCAGGACCAGAGATACAGGGAAGGGGCAGAGTTACTGGGGAGCTTCATGATAGATTTCAATTCTGAGGGGGCAGGGGGGTTGTTCCCATCTTCAGCTATGAGTATGGCATGTTGTCGAAAGAGATGTTTGTCTCTGCTACTGTTTATAGTTATCCTACATACTTTAAGTGTGCATTTAAATATCTTAGACCCACAGTTTGTCTCAAAATCCACCAGTGTTTCTGATTAAATTGGTGCCTCCCCCTCTAAGAGGGAATAAATAGGTTTCTGACTACAGTATTGCCTTTTTCTTTCAGGAGGTAACGGCAGAGCAGGAATAGATTTCTTTGGGAAAAAATTACACGTGGGAGAAGCAAGCTCGGTCCTCAAAGCTCTTTTTCTCACTGGACTCGTCCTGTTGGTAGCTCTTTTGATTCTTATGCTTCTTCTGGTGTTCCAGAAGAAGAGAGCTCGGTATAGTGCCGTTGGTCGCAAAAGTGACCTTCCAATGGAAACTCTCTGACTTCAATCATGTTGATAAGGTCTTCAGGTGAGATCCCACTGCTCTATATGAGTGTGTTATTTATAGAGTGACCTTGGCTGCTGCTAAAATGAAGGCTTCCTGGGCAAACATATTGTTACGATAAAACAAAGAATGCGTATGATTGTGGGATCCTCTTCCTTTGGAGCAAATTCAAACCAAATCCCAGAACTTCTACAGTCTGGATCTCAAAGCAGTCTTTTAAATATTCAGACTCCACTTAAAAAACAAAGAATGTTTTCCTCAGGCAAATAGAATGCATCTAGGGAGTGAATCAACTTGACTGAAATCTCATTGGCCTTTTTAATGTAATGAACAAATTATGTTACTAGGGGTGAATCATGAACCCACCAGCCCAGTTCAAGCTTGTAAACCACATATAGAAAGAAGTTGCAGAGAAGAGGCTTCTGATTTTAGGTGTGCAATTCAACAAGGCCTCAGTTCTGGCCCCATAGTCTCTTTATAACTTATCAGTCGTACCAGAATTTGTGAAATGGGCACATCTTGCCAAATGATGACAGAACTGCCATCCACATTGTTCACACCGTGCAATGCCATAAATCAATGAGGTATGGATGTTGATTGTTGCCCAAAGCAGATGATGTTTTCTGTTCCGATTCAGGGATTTGAAGGATAGGACTGCACTCAGCCAAACAAAGCTGCTCTTTCTGATTTGTCTGCTAGGAATTAAGAGACATCAGTTATGGAGGGAGCAAAATCTATTGTCTGCTGAAGCAAAAGTGTCTCTGTGTGTTGACAGCCCACATGATGTGGTGGTTACCGTGTTGGATTAGGACAGAGGAGAACTGGTTTCAAATTCTACTCAACCTTAAAACTAATTGATTGGTGCATTGTGCTGCCATTTTAACCTACTTCACAGAGTTTTTCTGGTGACAACTGGGACAGTGGGTCCCAGCCCTTGAGCTTCTCAGGAAAAAGGTACAGTAGGATCTCTATATCTGCCTGAAAATATTTAAAAGATTAACAGAAAAATCTTAGAAATATGTATTTCTAACAATGAAATTAACCAGTATTGGCCACTAGAAGGAGCCAGAGGCCATGCTATGAATAGCGTTCACTATTAAAATAGTGTTCCATTTCCAGTAATCTGTTTTTCAGCATCTGCAGGGGATGCTTGGAACCAATACCTTGCAGATATGGGGGTCCTACTCTACTGAAAAATTGGAACTACTGGTATCAGAGACAGGCTTCAGACTTCTTTCACCTAAGCAAAGAATCATTATGAGCTTTCTTTAGCTTGTACAATCTTGATACTTCAAAATATATGCATAAGCTAGAATCCTGTTATGGACTGATGCCAGTGTTAAGCATAATGGTGTAAACTACAGCAGTGAATTGCCACTAATTGACAAGTTGCTGATGACTTTCCTGGCATAGCAATGATGAATACAAGGGGCAAGTTGTTAATGTCAAATTTACACCATTATACTTGTGCCCACTTATATCTGTTGTAGATATTTTGCCTTTTTAAATATATGAAATGAGAAGTAGAATCTAGTCTACGGGAATAAGTAGAATATTTGACTTGGACCAAGGAGATATATATACACACACACACACATATACACACACGCACACACACACACATATATATACATATATATGTATATACATACATACATATATACATACACATATATATGTACATATATATACATATATATACATATACATATATATACATATATATACATATATACATATATACACATATATACATATATACACATATACATACATACATATACACACACACACATATATACACATATACATATACATATACATATACATATACATATAGTCATGGATTCCTCAGGAATAAGGAAGGAGTTGTGTGCTAGCTTTCCAAAGGGAGGGAGGAAACCCAAATTTTCTTAGTATAGGTACTGGTTATTATAGCTTACTGCCAGCTCTTTTAATCCATTTTTTTCTGCTGAAAGAATGGGTCAACACAGGTGTAATAACAGCCCGTAATTACAGGACTAAGTCTGCACAAGCTTCCAGTCCATCCTTTCCCCTTCCCTTTGCCATCCTTTGTGCAAGGAAGGAAAAGACTAAGTTTCCAGTTTTATGTTTCAGCCTAACCTCAGTTCCCTCTTTTACCCAAACCAGAACTTGGAAATGATATTTTGGGGGACTAGAACTTGCAGCACTACATAGGCAACATGATTAAAACTTGGGGAACTGTGATTTTTTTAGCTGGTTAGTGAACAAACCAAGATCTGGAACCACAGTTTGATCCTGGTTTTAGCTAATCATAATTAGCAGGTCTTAATGCTTCCATGTAACACACAACTATGGTTAGTTCAACAATGAAAACGGGTTTCATTTTTACGTAAACAAAGGAGGAGGAGGAAAAAACACTTGAACTTGATCTCATGTAGACTCACTTTCATAATGACAAACCATGGTTTGCCATTATATCTGAGACAGATACACGTTATTGTCTTCTGCTGAGGGTGTGAGAGTAAGAAATGCATAAGTAAATCATAAACAGTAATATTATGGATGGAGACAGGCAAGGGTGCTGAGTACTGTATTATAAGTAATAAAATGCAATTGTGTTGGGTATTAAAATTAGTAAAAGAATAGGATTGTTGTTTTCAGAGTATCATTACAATACTGTCTGTACTAAATGAATTCTGAAGATTTTCACTGTGCTCCAGAAATCTGTTTAATTAGAGATCAAATAGAACAAAATCAATGTGTGCAGCACTAAAGATGTGCATTCATTTGGAGTATGTGTGTGCGCGTGTGTGTGCACAAGCGCATGCTAGTGTGCACCTAAAACAGAGCCTGGAAATGCTACTCTTCCTTCCTTCCTTCCTTCCTTCCTTCCTTCCTTCCTTCCTTCCTTCCTTCCTTCCTTCCTTTCTTTCTCTCTCTCTCTCTCTCTCTTTTTCTTTTCTTTCTTTCTTTTTTCTATTCTTTTCTTCTTCTTTTTTTGAGTAAAATGCCTTGAATACCTTAGCCACCATGATCACTGCTGGCAGAGGGTTCTGGAAATCCCAAATATTTTTTTTCAAGCTTTGCCTGACCTTTCATGTCTCTTACAAATTATTTGTCACCAGGTTGTTTACCCTCTGTAGTTTGTATACTTTAACATGTCAGATGAAAATAGAATTTAGTTCTGTCTCACTTCTCAAGGAAACCCACCAGAAAAAGAATTTTTCAAGAGGATCACATTTATACCTAAAAATCCTTTGTGCTTATTGCTATATGAAGTACGGGGACCTAAATTCGCAGTTTGTTGCATATGTTTGGGTTTTTTGTTTGTTTGTTTGTTTGTTTGTTTGTTTGTTTTGGGTTTTTTTGCGATTAAGCAATTTGTAAATCAAGCTCTATGGTCCACTGCTTAAAATGTAAACATTGCGAAAGGATTATTGCATAAATTCACTTTTTATACCAAGTGCTGGATTAATCTTTAAGCTGGTAAACTATGCAACACTGTGGCAAAAAAAACCCTCAAAAACAATGTGGAAGTTACAGTGAAACCCACTGAAGGCCTAATCATGCCTAATTCTGATAGGATTTTAGACCAAAAATCCTAGTCTTAGATTTTTGATTACTTTGCACACATTACTACATTGTGTGTAGAAGTTTCTATGAAGTCCAACCCCTCTCAAATCCAACCTCCTGCTTGATGCAGAAATTCAAGTCAAAGCAGATCTGACACATGGTGGTCCAATTTTCTCTTGAATGCCCCAAACACTGGAGTGCTCACCACCTCCCGAGGTCATTGGCTCCATTGTCATACTGCTTTAACCGTTAAGAAGTTTTATGCCCGATATTCATCCTAAATCTAGCTTCTTGTAATTTGAGCCCACTGTTCCATGTTCTGCACTCTTGGATTATCAAGAACAGATCCTATCCCTCCTCTGTATGAATATCTTGCAAATATTTGGAAAATGTTCTCATATCTCCTCTCATTCTTCTTTTCTCAAGGCTACACATGCCCACTTCTTTCAGTCCAAACCAGTGACCAGTCATGTCTAAGAGAAGATCCACTGAAATTAATCAGATTTAAGTTAGAGTCCCAAGAATTACACTGGGTGTGTTCCACACATGACAAACTCTGGATCCCACCCAAAATATCAAATTCACAACCTATGTATAGTGGGACTTGAGGGGCTTAAATGAAAGTTTTAAAAACCAGCAATTGTAACCCTAATCGCTCATTTAAAACAATTATAATTACAAGATTGCTTTTATAGTCAGAGGGGATACAAAGCAATATGGGCACTGTAAACATTTCAAACACAGTTTTCTTCTATTAACCACTAAGTCTGTATTAAATCATGTGTGTACACCTAAATGCTGTACTTCCAGGCAGCAATCACTGAACTGTATAAATAAAGTTGAATGAGTTAATCACTTCTTGTGATGTGCTTCAAGTTCAAAATCAAGTTCATAAAATATATGATTCATCAAATATAGTTACAAAAGTTACCCTGCTTGGGATTTTAATTTAATTCTCTTGTTTTCAACATTATATGCTTCTTGCAGTTCATTAAAATATAAATGCTTGTTTGTTTATATTGTTTATATAATCATCATCATAATCTTAGAATTGCAGAGCTGGAAGGGACCCTATGGATCATCGGGTCCAGCCCCTCTCAAAGAGGCACACTGGGGAACTGAGCTCCCAATGTCTGGCTCGGCAGACCTAAACTGCTGAGCTAGACATGCTACCTTTCTCCCCACATTAAGAACATAAATATGGCTTTTTAAGAAACCAACAGTGGCTTGGTTCCGAAGGTTTCCTTTCACAAAATGAGCACCGGAGAAAATGAAGTGTTGGTTTTAATCCAATATCTTTTGGCATTAAAAGACTCTGGGCATCTAACTCTGTGGTGTGTTTACCATGCAGCAAATATTTGGAAGTGTTTGAATTGCTGCCGTTGTTCTAATTACTGTGGTCATTCTAATTACTGCAGTTGTACTCATGGCTAAGTCAGGCATTCATTTTAGAATGGGATAATGGAACCAGCCTCTGCTTTATTAACAGACAGATAGAAAGAGAACTATGGGATTAGACTGAAAAGCCCTTCGGGTCCAGCATTCTGGCTGAGCAGACATTTACGATTAAGGAAGCCACGAGTGCAACATGAGTGTGAGAGCATCCATCCTCCAATTGGCCCACAATCCTGTTCATGCACACAATCTGAAGTTCAGCATGGCATTGGCAGTCCTCCCCATTTCCTAAGAGTTGTCAGGATGAGAGATTGTGTGAGCAAAGCTGCACCCGGGATTCTGCTCTCCGCCATCCATTTGGGGATGAGGCAGGTGTGTGTTTTCGGGGCCTGCGTGGGACTTGTTCAGCCCTGGAAGGCAGCCCATCTAGGAGAAGGAAAACTCCGATTTCAAACCTCCACTGCCTTGTGGCTATATCCACTGATGGAAAAGGCTTCAGGAGTCAACCTCGAGGCAAAATCCTGAGCCGGAGTTCCGGAGGCAGTTTGTGTCATTCTGGAAACTCGTGCGGATGTTGCTGGAACCAGTTGTATTGGCTCTTGCCTTTCCATTGGACTATTTCAGTGACGTGGAGAGGAGGAAATTGCTGGTTGGGTAACAACCCATCCTCCATATTATTTTACCCAGGCTTTGTGCCCTGGAAAGGACACTCCAGCTTCGTGTACAGTGTCGAAACACTAGACGCTGTTTCAAGTCCTCCATACAGAGCACGTTACCATAGTCTCTCGAGACTGAAGGATACCTATGATGAAGGATCCTGGAGATGGGACTTGTGGCTCCATAGCCCCTCTGCATGTCAGAGATCCCTGATGGTGTCTCTCATCTCTCCCATTTAAAGACCTCATATACAGGTGGCAGAAAATGACCTCTGGCATCCCTTCCCAAGCTCAAAAGAGGCGACAGGGTGAGCGTAACTGCTAGATAGCTCAGTGGCTTAGGCATCCGGGAGTTCGATTCCCCACAGTGCCTCCTTGACAGGGGCTGGATGCAGTGATCCAATGGGTCCCCTTCCAGCTCTGCATTTCTAAGACGATGATTAGAAGCAGAACTCCCTTATGAAGTAAAATACATCTATTCACCCTAATAAAGAGTTTGTCCAATTGGATGGTCCGGCGCGCCCCCAGAAACGAATGAAAACAGGCGGCCCTGAATACTAACCAGCAAAACACAAGGCAAAAACAGGGGATGTTTCAAAGACCACGGGTGGGGTGGGGAGATCATCCTACAATCCACGAAATTTCGTGGATTAAAAATACATCTTATTCAGGTGTGCCGCGGCGTGACCTTTTGGATTTAAAGCTCCTCACATTTGTACGTATTTCATTTCGTGCCGTCCCCACGGCTACTGTTCAATTCTGCACCAAGGGAGGCGATTCCCTCCTTTTTTAGCCTTGGTTCTCCCGTTGCCCGGCCAGCGACCCCGTCCCGGCCGCCCCGAAGCGCT